AGTTAGAAGCAGCAGTAATGAACTGTACTTACTTTTCAGGGTACCTCAACCAGAGCTGAGTAATTTGCTTGTTCACCTCATTGAAGAGACAGAACTGTGAGAAAAAAAGGTTCAGTTTAATAAAACGTAAATTTGTAAAGTGCAATTAATAGACTATCGTTATAGCCATTGAGTATGTATTTTATACTATTGCGACTTTCTTGTGGCCCGAGCTCAAGTTACCTGGGTTCCGACTCTGAGCTTTTTGGTATATAAACCTGCTGAAACAACAATAACGCGACCTATCACAGCTATCGGTATAAGAACGGACCAAAAATTTTTCCCATACCTCAACAGGCAGTAATTAATAGTCGTTTTTCAATAAAATCTTCTTTAAATAAGAACTAAAATGTAAAATTTGACCTCTTACGGAGTGACCTTTATGATAGTCCTGATATAATTGTTATTGACGTAATTTACGCTTCAAATAGGCGTCCTCAGATTAAGTACTTACCGCACGAAACAGCCTCTGCATATGTGGATTTGAGATGTCTAGTCCTGGAGAAAGTTTAGGCATGGGCCCATAGCTTCCGGAGAACTGGTCTTCAATATATTCAGCTGGCATAAGAGAAAGAAATAAATTTAGCCCTCATGGATTAAATAAATTAGAGTCTAAAACAGTAACTTCAACTAACTGGGAAAAAAAACTCACTCAGAACACAGTAGCATTCCTTGACGTTTGCCGAAGTGGTGGCAAATCCCTTGGCGAGAAACTGCATGGCAAGCGACTAGGGAGAAAATGCAATAACTGTATTAAAGTTTAGCCTATAATAGGCTTCTTCCGTAATGCCCTGCAGGACTGACATTCAAAAGCTTCGCTTTTTAAAAAAGTTGTTAATGCATGCCTCAGAGGCTCTTACAAATGCGTTTCGTTGGTTTAACCAGTCATCGGCCGTACCATGGATCCAGGCAGGTTAAACGTAAGGTGTGAACCTGGATTCAGTTCATGACTGAGGCTCTAAATACGTTTCGTTGATAACCGAAATCATGATGTGTTGGGGAATAAAGGTTATC